CCTAGCAGTGTAATTGCTGGATCATAGGGTAGTTCTATTTTAACATTTTGAGGAACCTCCACACCATTTTCCAGAGTGGCTGCACCAGTTTGCATTCCCATCAACAGTGTAAGAGGGTTCCCCTTTCTCCACATCCTCATCAACATCTGCTGTTTCCTTTGTTGTTAATTTTATCCATTCTGACAGGTGTGAGGTGGATCTCATCGTGGTTTTGATTCATACTTCCCTGATGATCAGAGATGTTGAGCATCTTTTCATGTGCCTATAAACCACTTGTATACCTCCTTTGGAAAAATGTCTATTCATGTCTTCTGCCCATTTCTTAACTGGATTATTTAAAAACACCAGCATTTTAAATATTAATAATCATATATATTATCAGAGTCATCTCTCTAGTGGTTATTCAATGCCAATCTCCCTGATACCATAGCTGGTTGTTCCTTTTAATCCAAATGCTTTATCTGCATGATAAACTGAATGGTGGACAGCACATGCTTCATGCTTTGGTCATACACATGGTGGAGTGACTTCTTGGTTGAATGAGTAAAGAAAAGGTAGATTAAGAGATTGAGAGAGAGTACAGAGCTAAAGCTTAAAACTCTTAACCATTTCTTACTGTCTTTTGAAAGAAGAGTGAAAAAGAGGTGGTCTAAGAGGAGGAAAAGGGTTTATAAATACTGAGCACTTTAATTCTCAAATCGCTTTATGAAATAGGTGCATGCTTGTAAAACGTTAGTTACTTGACTAAGAGTACAGAGCTAGTAAATACAACACCCTTGATGTCTAGCCTTTCTGGCCCCAAATACTATTCCTGTAAAAGCCTGTCCCCTGAAAAACATTGTTTTTTCCTCTGTAGGAGTCTACCATCAAGTTCCAGTCCGTCAAGTTATTTTGTTCCTAAATGTTTCCATATATCTGACAGGAACCCTAAAAGAGGGAGTCAGCTCCTCTCCCACTTTCATTCACTTTTTTTTAAAGATATATTTTTTATTCCAGAGAGAGAAAAAGCTTGCACGTGCATGCATGAGTGGGGGATAGGGCATGCAGAGGGAGATAATTCTCAACCAGACTACCTGCTGAGTGCAGAGCCCCATGCAGGGCTCCATCCCACAACCCATGAGATCATGACTTAAGTCAAAACCAAGAGTCAGATGCTCAACCAACAGCCACCCAGGCACTCCTCATTCACTTCCTGACTACTCTCACAACTTCACCCAAATTGATAGGCTTATATCTTCCCCACTACAGCCTTCCACTATTTAACAAGCTCCAGTCAGCTGAGGCTTCTTTCATTAACATTAATTAGTAAAGGGATGCCTTGGTGGCTCAGTTGGTCAAGCAGCCAACTCTTCATTTCAGCTCAGGTCATGATCTCAGGATCATGGGATTGGACCCAACATCACATTCCACACTCAGTGCAGAGTTCTGAGACAAACTAATTTGTTTTAATTTTTTTAAAAGATTTTATTTATTATTCTATAAGAGACACACGGAGAAAGAGGCAGAGACACAGGCAGAGAGAGAAGCAGGCTTTGTGCAGGGAGCCCGATGTGCGACTCAATCCCGGGACTCCAGGATCATGCCCTGGGCCGAAGGCAGATGCTCTACTGCTGAGCCACCCAGGCATCCCTACTAATTTGTTTTATAAAAATAATCAGTATACATGAATATTTTTAGTTGAAAATTTTATTCTATTGTTCTTTATTATAGTTATTATACTGTTACTGTAATAAGTCAAGAAAAACCTGTAAATGTTCATTTTTACTTACTTGAACTAGAGATAGCTCAATTTCTAAAGTCTTTACAAATTTGTTTCAAGTAGATTTGATAAATGGGATAACCAACTAAATCTCTAGTGTTTTCATACTGCTAAACAAATAAAAACGTAATCAAAATGTCTTCTATTAACTGTATAATGTAATTTTTCTAAAAATTATTTAGAGTTTTGGCTCAGGTCATGAGTGGCTCAGTCAGTTAACTGTCCAACTCTTGATTTTGGCTCAGGTCATGATCTTTTAGGGTTGTGAGACTGAACCTTGCATTGGGCTTTGTGCTGGGCATGGAGGCCACTTGAGATTCTCTCTCTCTTCCCCTTTGCCCCTCCTCTTACTCTCTCCCTCCCCCAAAACAAACAAAAAGGAAATTTCCATCTCTTTCTGAGTTGGCAAATACATATTTTTATCATGATTATGTGGCAGTAGAGGTACTGGACTCTAGAACCAGAATGTAAGGATTTAAATTTTGACTCTGCCCATTTTTTTAGCAGAAAAGGAAATTACTTGATTTCTCTGAACTTTAGTCAAATAAACTAATATTTAATACAGTGTCTGGTATGCACCCAATAAGACTTAGCTGTTATTAACTCAAAGGGAGTATTTGCTACAAGTAATCTTTCTAAATTTAATTGGGAATTCTTATAAAGTAAAAATATCTAATCTACAAATTTCTTCCAACTGTAATGAAATTTTAATACTAAATTTAACAATGTAGGTGATATAATAGTACACTCTGGAGATGTTTAATTAGACATTCTTCGTTTCAATCTTGCAGCTTTCTTTTAGTGTTCTGAGACCATTTTTTTTCTTTCCAGTCTCAAATATTTTCATTGGCCCTTGAAAACTTCATAGGCAATAAGCACTGTGTCTGTAGTGTTTGATGGATAGAATGGCCTTGGCCAAGGTAAATAGGACAGCTTTGAATGCTACCTTTTCTGACTCCAAATACCATTTCTGTGATAGTCTGTTTCCAGGAGCACATTTTTCCTCAGTAAGAGTTTGGAAAGGTTTCTAGAAGTTTTGGTGAGGTTACTAAATAGGGATTCAAAGATAAGACAGTAAAGCAAATCCCAGATTATCACTGATGAGCAAAAATTCTTGTTACTTTTGCCTAAATTCAGAGTTTATACCAAAATCTAGGTCAAAGTTGGTTTTGCAATTAGGCATAAATAGGAGAAAGAGTTATTTAGTAGGGGTTTAGAACTGACACTGATCCAAGAAGGATAATCCTCTTTAGTAGAGTGGGGCTGCACTGTAAGAGAAATGGTTATCATGTCATTTTAATTTCAAAATGTTTATTCCTATGTGACCAGGGAATGAAATGAAGTTTTTACCTCAATACATAAAGTAGACAAAGTATTTACTATTCCAAAGGGTTTGGATTTCAAGTACTATTATTTAGAAAAATCTACAAAGAAAAACATAAGAAATATATTATTTTAAAATTCTAAGACAGTGGTTCTCAAAGTATGACATACAATGGATCATGAGAGCAAAAGTATTTCAAAAATAATATTAAGTCACTATTTGCCTTTCTCATTATGTTGACGTTTGCATTTTGCAAATTGCATTGCAAAAGGAATGGTGTATAAAACTGTCAGTGCCTTAACACAAACCAAAGCAGAGGTACTAGACTGTGTCAATAGTGACTTTATTTTTCACTTCCACTCATTCAAAAAAAGGATATAAGAAATAGCCAGCTTAACTCCAGAATGCCTTGATGAAACAGTAAAAATTTTAATTTTATTAAATCTCAATCCTTCAGTAAATGTTTTAAATATTTTGGGTGAGGTGCTGGGAAGTACACCTAAAGCACTTCTGCTGCGTACCAGAGTATAATAGTTGTAGCCAAGAAAGGTAACTATTTGAGTTACAAACTGAACTAGCTGCTTTTTGCATGGAACTTCATTTTTACTTGAAAGAAAAACTGACAGCAAACTATAACATTCATATTTGGGTATTTGGCATTTTTGCAAAAACAAAAGGGAAATGTAGGGAGCTTGTGACTTCATGAAAAACCATCAACAAGCTTAATAAATTTCAAGCTTTTCAAGCTGGTATTAGAATTTTGGAAAGTTTTATCTGCCACTATGAGCTTGGCCTCTTCCCAATACTCAAAGATTTTTTTGGTGAGCTTGGTGGCAGTATTAATGAATATGATATTTTGATATTATAAAATAAAATTAGTTATCATTTGAAAGATCTTCATGATTCAGTGAATCATTATTTTCTGAATGACCAATGTATAGTGTTACACTTATATTTAAAATGGAAGATAGACCAATGAATTTTAATGTAACAGTACTGACCTGGTCTAAGATAACACATGACAACTAATTTTTAAACAATTATCATTTGTCAAATTTTGGCAGAGTAGCAAAGAATAAACTCTTCAATTATTAGAAAAGTCTGTTAAAATACTCTCTCCTTTCCACTTACATATCTCTATGAGGCCATATTTTCTTCATATCCATCAAACAAAACAAGATATCACAACAGAAATAATGCAGAAGCAGATAAAAGAATCAATCTGTTTTCTATTAATCCAGGTATTTAAAACATTTGCAAATATGAATTCACTTATTTTATTTTGGAAAATATAATTATTTTTCATAAAATGGTATCATTTATTTTAAGATGTAATGAGTTTAATTTTTTATTTTAATAAATTGATCTTAAGACTTTCTTAGTTTTAATTTCTAAAATGGAATATTAATATAACCTGCATTAAAAAAAAGATCTGTGTTCCTCAATTTTTATGAGTAAAAAGTGTCCTGTGAGACAAATTTTTGAGAATGATTGCCCTCTTTTTAAGTAGGCTCTATGCCCAGTGTGGAGCCCAATGTGGGGCTTGAATTCATGACCCTGAGATCAAGATCTGAGCTGATCAAGAGTCAGACACTTTACCAACTGAGCCATCCTGGTTAAATATATTTCAAACCAGGTGCTATTGTGACATCAGCACCAGGTCAATGATTACCATTTAAAGGATTCCACGCAGTTGACCATTATGTCACAGAGCTCTCCAGCTGGACCGCCCCATAAGGAGCTAACCACCTAAGAGTGACTACTCTTGCCCTCAATGTTCACCATAGGGCATTCAATGATGTTATCAGGAAAGATATCCAGCAAATAGTAAGAAAAAGATCTTTCATTCTGATACTGCTTCTTCCTTTGGTTTTGGTCAGGTTTCCCAGCACCCTAGCCCTTGTTTTATTATGAAAGATGTACAGACTTCAAACCAAAAGGGTAAAAGCTGCTGCTGGGCAGATGTGGACTTCAAATCTCTCCAAGATCAGGCGATCTCTTAAAAATGTTTACCATAAATATAAGAACCAGCACCCAGATTCAACTAGAGATCCAACCTCGACTTCCTATGATTGTGATAAAGATGACATCACTACTGATGAAGAAATGAGTCTTAGAGCAATGCTCCAAGATATTAAAACTGCCCAAATTGAACTCGTCAGCCAACTGACTGACATTGTCAGTGTAGTATCCAAAATCCAGGAAAAGATTGACTTTTATCAGAAGCAGATAGAGATCCTGGAAACCAGAATGAATATTAATGAAGACAAACAAGGCACAATAACTAAAGATATCTTCTCAATGAAAAAGGACATCAATGCTTTAAAGAAGAAGGTGACAGAACTAGAAAACCAGAATTCTTCCTCCACCATACATTGTTTAGAAGTTCCGGAAGGAGAAAGGGGTAAAGAGATCATAGAACAACTTCACAAACTCATACAACCAGAAACTCTGAAGAACACCTTGGCTTCTACAGACTATGGAATCTCTTCAGCAGAACCAGAAAACGTGCCCAGTTATCCTGAGCTCACTGATCATCTTGAGGAGAAAACAATTTCCCCCAAAGTTAAAACTCTGGGAAAAAATAACCATCAAAATGCATTAAGAAGCTTTAAGAAAGCAAAGTCAAATATTTATATTTACCCAGACTTTAGTACATGGATCAAGCTAACTTTTGTCCATGGAGGAAAGTGGAGATTTTTCCTCGGTGCTACAGACTTAGAAGAATTCATCCAATGGCTTCTTTCTAGGCCAGCCATCTCTCCTGAGGAACCACAACTTGTAACCCAGAGATATTGTCCATTCACTGGGCTTATTTCAAGTTTGACTACATTCTGTCTCTCTGTTTTCAACTATATTTACTGTTCTTTTGGTTCCTCAAAAGAAGAAATAACTCGACTATAGAGTTATTTTCTGCTTTGTTTGGTACAAAATAAATGTAAACTGGTTGTTCCAAGCATTGACACATCTTTGTGGCATTTGAGATGTCCTTGATAGTTTGCTCACTATGGGCTCACTGTCTGTGAAGTTTCTGTATGTCTCAGGTAAGCTAAGATGGATCATCCCATTGGATAATCATGATGCATTTTCTATCATTGTTCTTGTTTTCTTAAAGGCAATTCATAAGGAATCACCCAGTGCCCATGTCATAGATAATTGGAAGGAAAGAATAAAGGGGCCAAGGGAATGGAGAACACATCTGGTAGTTCCCACATCAGTTTCCTATGTCCTCTTGTCTTAGTGGCCTTTGTAGATAAGATCTGTGTTACCAGAGACAGACTCCACTAACAAAATTTTAAACAGTATACAATGAAAAAGACACTATCAGAGCTACCAAAGTTAGAGTTATAAAAATAAAGGGCAGTGAAAAGACAAGTTACTGCCAGAAAAATATTCTTTGCAAAATGGGATTTTTTTTTGTTTCAACTTCAGCTTCACCTCCATCAAACAAAGGGGGATGTTATTGGATATTTTTTACATTTTCATGAAATGATATAAATCCCATGTCATGTAGGTTTGATACAGAGGAAAGAAGAAAATCTAAAAAGGCATGTGTGAACCAAGTTAGATCTCAACACTGTGCTACCAAAAATTCTTGTATGACAAGGTCTTTTTTTGGTATGGGCCCCATACTACATATCCAGAGTGCGCTTCATTTTTAGATATAATAGGTCATTGCCATCATGATGTAATTTTGCTAAATACAATTCAGAGTAGCTGCAAAAACATGTTTCTCTCACCACTTAACTCAGCAAATGAAATCTACCAATGGAGAATTCTGTGCTGTTACAAATATTCTTGGTTAAATGTACCACTTTAAATTATTCTCAGTTAATAACTCGAAAGGAGGGTTTTGGCAGGTAGCTAAGAAAAGCCCAATTTCAAATGAGGAAGAAAGGAGCTAAGGTGGGTATAGAGGAAACTAAGGGAGAAGGATGACAAGAAGACACAGGACTATTTGGCACCACTCTGATCATAATTATATGTTATGAGTTTTCTCACTTGCAAATATATTTTATTTGATCTTTCTTTACTAATTTACAGATAATATTTGTATACAAAATAACTTTTAAAATACATCCATGTGTGACAGGTGCTACATGGATGGTAGTCCTATAAGTCCTCCAAACAAGGCTGTATATGAAGAGGATTTGTTTTAAATGGGATATCTGTGCTAATAACGTAATATATGATTCTGGAAAGGGCACTAACAATCTCTATGTATTTCTTTGCCATCAGAGATATCCTAAGAACAACCAGAGCTCTAGTTCAGCATCTTGGGTATGACCCTACATCAGAGAGTAACAAAGGACTCACATCAGTGATGACACAGATAAATGACATAACAACTGGATTCTGAGAGAGTAAAAAGTGATTAACTTGATATTTGCCTAGGTCATCGGACTTTCGTATTTTTTTAAGATTTTATTTATTTATTTGAGATAGAGAGAGAGAGAGAGAGAGAGAGAGAGAGAGAGAGAGGGAACCAGGGGGGGGGGCAGAGAAAGAGGGAGAATCAAGCCTCCCACTGAGCAGGGAGCCTGATGTGGGGCTTGATCCCAGGACATCAGGATCATGACCCGAGCCGAAAGCAGACACCCAACTGACTGAGTCACCCAGGTACTCCAGGCTTCTGTATTAATGCATGCTTTCACTCTTTCTCCCCTTACATGCCCCCTAGCACTTGCCTAGTGGCTCTGGAGAGGTAAAGAATAGGGAAACAGCTGAGGGAACTGGAAGACCTTAGTTCTGAACAGTCAAATTCTACACTTACAACCTGTTATTTCATCTCCGCTAGCTTCGTTTTGTCATGTGTTAGAAGGAAGTCATTATGTTAATTTAGTAAATATTTCTTTAGTGTTTGCTAATGGCAAGGGATCACGGGGGATAAAGGAAAAGTAGAAGACATTCCCTATACTATAGATATATAACATCAAATGGGACAAATAAAATGGGTACATGCACAACTAATGCACAAGAGATGGGAATGGAAAAAAGCCAAAGTGCTCCTGGGAGCAGAGTGGAAAAAAGTTGACGAGCCTTGCAGTAAGGAGTGTAGTGAGGAGGAGGTGGTGAGGGCAGTGTACCAGGAAGAGTACAGGAGTGGAGCCAGTAGGGAACATGGGTAATAATAAACGCCACCAAGCATTTTATAAATGTAAAGCACTGACGGCCTATTTCAACTCTTTTATGGATCTCATTTTTCTCTTCAGGGATTCTGTACCATATTCATTTTAACCTGTTTTTTTTTTTTTTTAACCTACAGAAGACTGTTAGAGAAGGAGAAAGCAAGAGGGACCCTACACAATTTTTTCAGGGTCCAGGCTTTCCCTGAAGATGACTATTTAACCTGTTCATTCACATAACTTCCCAGTAAGGAAAGGGACAATTCTGCTTGTGAGTCAGTTATTACCATCACCTAGATGAGGTCTCACGTGACTCATTAAAATTATAAGTCAACTTGCAAGGACACGTGAGCAAATAATTTTTCCCCAGTCCTTGCTTTCAAATTAATCTGCCTGTCAGCCAACTGACTTCTATTCCACTTGACTCAGAGGAAGTGATGTCTCTCTTGTCTACATTCCCCTTCCGGTGGTTTGCAGGCTCTCCCATCATTAGCCCTCTTCTTTCCTCCATCTTAATCACCACCTATCAGTTCTTTGTACTCAACTTACAAAAATATGTGTTTGCCTTGTCCTGTGTTCCCCTCCTGTCTTGCTGATCTCAACATCCTCTTTGAAGGAAAGGCCCACCCTCCCTGTCCCTGCCTACTCCTCTCCCACTCTCCCCAAGACTCATATGATCAAGTCTTCCACAACATGCTCTCTTCCGGTCCTCCACGCCGCCCCCCTTGCTCTGGAAGATCCCTCTGCCACTAATCATTCACTTAAAATTCTAATGATTCACTTTAATGGTGTTCAATCAAAGGATTCCTAATCCAGTCTCTCCTGGGACTTCCTGAGCTTTCATTTCAAGTGACTAATCTTCTCCACTTGGATGTCTACAGCAGTCACAAGCTTCTTACTCTTTTTTTTTTAAAAGATTTATTTATTTATGTGTGTGTGAGTGGGGGGGGGGACAGTTCCTACTACCGGGGGTGGGGGAGGGATGGGGAGGGGACAGAGGGAGAGGGAAAGACATCTAATGACCCTGAGATCACAACCTAACCCGAAACCAAGAGTCTGAAACTGAACCAGCTGCGCCACTCAGACACCCCACAAACTCCTTCCTCTTAAAATTTGCCTTAATAAACCTTCTTCTGATTCAAACTCATGTCTCTGCCAGTATCCCTTTTGTTAATGGCATCACAGCACACGTTATCCGTATCCCCAACTGGGAATTACTCTCATCTTTTGCTCCCTCATTTGATGTCTTAATCGTTAAATATTTTTCCTGTTATCTCCCAACTATTCATGGAATCCATTCTCTATTTCTGTCCCCAGTCTTACTGTTCTGGTTCAAGCTTTAATATTATCCCTTTATAAATGAAGTGTACCTGTTTGATATTCTAGCCTCCAGAATGTCCATAATCCAATTTTAAAAGGGTTATTGTTTTCAACAGTTCTAGAACTTTTTCATTGTTCTTCATATAAGGAAGAATAAAATCCAAATTCCTTAGCAGAGTCTACATCATCCTTTCCATCCTGCATTTTTAGCTTTGAAAAGTACCGTTCAATGATAGAATTGCTTTAGTGTCCGACTGACCTGATTAAAAGGCTGGCTCTGTCACTTACTAGGTGTATGACTTTGGAATTAAGTTAAATTTTATATTCCCAAAGCCCTAGCATCCCTATTCCTAAAATAAGAATAACAGTCATGGGTTGTTGCCAGGAATAATGTGAAGCTTTTAGCAATCTAACTCATGTAGAGTAAGTGTGAAATTAATGGTATTTATTAATATTACTTCTTCATCCCCATCTTTCCATGATAACTTCACATGCAAAACCACCATGCAGCCACACTAAATGTCTTGCAGACTTTTTCAAATCATATATCTTTGTACTTCCTCCTCCTACTGCCTTGGATTCTCTCCTTTTATCTGGCCAATAACAAATAATTTGGGGGACACTTGGGTGGCTCAGTCAGTTGGGCACCTGACTCCTGGTTTCCCATTGAGACATGATCTTCTGGTGGTGGGATCAGGCCCCCGTCAGGCTCTGCACTTAGCACAGAGTCTGCTTCACATTCTCCCTCCTCTCTCCTTCCCTCCAGCTCATACACTCCCTCTTTTAAAAAATAAATAAATAAATAAATAAATAAATAAATAAATAAATAAATCCTTTAAAAAAAGAATGTGTCACTTGAGTCTCAACTCAAATATTTTTTTCTCTAAGATGACTTCCCTGATCTTTATCCTGTGCCTCAGTCTCTTGAGGCAGAATCAGAGACTCCCTCAACAACCCCACCAGTGTTGCCACTGATTTCATACATATATATCACAAAACTTTGAGTTGTTTATGACAGAGATAGAAACTCACATGTTTATGAAGAAGAAGGAGAAGGAGAAAAGAAACTTACCTGTTTATCTTGAATATTAAAATCAGTTTTACTGGTAAGTTCTCAGTAAATGTTTTTGAATGAAAAGAAGACGATGACAACAGAGAAGAAAGCACCATTCTGCTCTACCAAAAAAGTGGGTATAAATATAATTAAATGAGTTTTGATGATGTACATCAAACATGAAACCATTATGCATTCACCAGAATGTCTCAAACTATTGTTATCATTAAACACATTTAATGGGAAGATAGCACTTCACAGTGAAAGCAGCCAGGACATTCAAAGTAGAACAGATCTTAGAACAGCTGTTTAGTAAACATTTATTATGAATCAGGCACGTGCTAGGAGCAGGTGTACAATGGTGAAATTCATTAACTTATTTCTGCTAATTCTGTAAGACTTGT